AAAGTCCTTCTCCAGAAGGTGCAGCCTGATGAGTCAGACAATGTGCGGGACAGAATGCAGAATTCATGGTCAGAGTTGCCCAGTTAGCCAGTCACAGGGGCTCACGCTTCCAATCCCAGAGGTCTGGGAGGCTGAGGCAGGGGGGATTCCAAGAACCAGCCCATCTTGGACAGCTTAGGAATTCAGCAAGGCCTGAGGCCCTGCCTATAAATTTAAAGCATTTAAAAAGGTCTGGGGGTATATAGCTCAGTGGGAAGACCCTGAGCTAAAAGTTCCTCAGTCAACAGTTAGTTAAATACCTCTGTTGTGCCGGGTACTGCTGAACATTTTGGTTCACCTTTCTTTTCTGTCTGATGCATTTGATTGCTTGTTTGAAACTCTAGCTCTGTCACTAACTCGTGTAAGGAATACTATCACTCTAAGACTTGCTTTGTGTGTAAAATTAAAACATAGAAATGGGTTTTACTGGGAAGGCGATCAAGAGACACAGAGAGGAAGGAGAGAAGGGGATGAAACAAAAGGAATGAAGATTTGTGTGTCTGTTATGTGCAGGGAACAACTCCCCACAAGAAATAGAAGCATTATGAATGGTGAACATGTATCCATGAAATAAAAAATACTTTTCTGAAAATACTCCTGTAGCACTACATAAATCACATGTGGATATGTGAGAGAGATAGAGACAGCTAGAGAGACAGGGAGACAAAGACACGAACACAAAGAGAGACCTCGGCTCCCACCCCTCCGCCGTGGCTGCACTGGAACCGAATCCCTTCTCGGCTCAGGAGCCCTAGTGGTCTCTGCTGCGCTTACCATTCCAGTGACCACTACGGGCCTGGAGCGGGGTGTGGCCACGCCCCTTACTAACCGCCTCCGAATGACATCTGAGTCTTCCCGTGTCCGTCCCTGCTCCTGACCTCCCAGCTTCACGGAGAAGCCCCTGCTACCTCGCTTCATGCCCAACTCCCACGATTGTATGGCATCTAATCCGTACTTCCGGTTCTTGGCCTCAGGCATAGCCTCACGACAGGAACAGCCCTAGAGCTGAAAAGCTCCAGATCCCGTGGAAAGTCCCTCCTTCTCACGCAAACTCTGCGAGTGGGCGACTCTGCTGTGCTCTTCCTGTGGCCTCCCCAAGCTTCATGCTGCCTGGCACCTCCTGCCGGGAGGACTCACTGACACAGCCTTGAGAGGCAGCGCCGCATTTCAGCTCACCGAGCTTCTTCTCTAGCTTGTAAAGAAGCACAATTAATAAATCGGGTCGCACGTGTCTTAATTTTTGGCAGGCAGTTTTGAAGTGATAACTGCTTTGACTGTTCTTCTTTGAACTAAATGCAGAAAACAATTTATGCCGAACCTGTCATTTGTGGAGATGGTGAGCATATGTTTGTAATTCTGAGCTAGGAGGAATGAAAAATACACAGTTTTAGCAATCTTATTCTTGACAGCCAGTCGGGGTACTCCAGTGAAGAAATGTGCAAATAGCTCAGGGAATTAAGAAATTGTCCGACTTGGTGTGAAAAAATGATTGCTTCATGCTTAGCGCTGTGTGACCCCAGTGAGCTCGTTCCTTCCGCGATCAGGGTTGAGTCCTGAGCTTTTGCTTACGTTTTTCCACCAGTATGTTGATGCCACTTGCCCGAGGGGCTAAGCACTGTGGGGACGGGGAGGGCTCCCTCTTTTTAATATCATACCTCATCTTGGTAAGTTGGACTTCCCTACGACAGCCTAAGACTTTCTCCAAGCCACCCCACCTGGATGTGACCTGCCAGGCTGATTTGCTCCAGTGAGTGTGGGGTGTGTGGGGAGAGGGGCTTTGATGGCCAACTGCCCCATAAATAGGAGGAAGGGGTGGGCCACCTCTATTCTGGACTTCTTTTTTCATGCCACAATTGTTTTACTCTGGTCAGAGTGTGGACAATTTTATTTCATGGTACATCCATTAAATATTTTTTTATTCCTAAACTTGGGTACAAAATATTAATTATGCCATGAAGCTAAAGCTTGGATTTTGCATTGCAGTTGTTAAAAACAGTTTATGGTTTGCATATGATACATCCCACCGCATCTCACTGTGTTGGAAACTTGGTTGCTGATGGGATTTGGGGAAGTGTTGGGGTGGTGAAAGCCCCACTGTGGCCAGCAGAGTTGTCTGTTGCTGAGATGCTAATCCGATGCCTTTATTAGGCACTGCTGGAATCAGGATGTGGAGCTTCCTTGAAGGAAGAGGATCAGAGGGGTGTGAGTTTGAGCTCCATATCCATTTCCCAAACTATCCCTCTTGAGCTCAGATCCTTCCCTTTGCCCTCTGCTTCCTGGTCACCAGGAGGTGAACATCTTTTCTACACCACACCCTCTACTATTGTGTTTCTGCCTCCCCAGACACACCTGAGAGCAACAGAGCCAGCTAACTGTGGTCCGAAACCTCTGAAACCTTCTCTCCTTTAATTAGTTTACCTCAGGCATTTTGTCATAGCAGTGAAAAGTAGAGTAAAGCAAAAACACTTCTTACAAAGTTAGTGAGTGAGTCAGTTGCCCTGCATTTTGAGGCTCTCAGGTGAGTCCTGTGCATATAAAAGTTTGAGAAGTGCTGGGGATGGGGAACTGCATGGCAACAGGCCCAGGGTCTGCCATCTGATCTCCCATGGAAATCTGAACTGGGAGAGGAGGGGTTGGATCGAGACCTCGAGAATCACCTCTGCAGAAGGAACACAGTGGTTCACTTCACCTCACACGCCATGCTCTGCTTTACCCTTGCCAAGCTTTGGCTTGGTGAGCCATGCAGTCCATGCCACCTCTACCTTGACCTTGGCCTCAGGTGTGGCCTCTGCCCAACAGGCTCCTGCAGCCCCAGCTCACTGCAGTGCCGGTGCTATCCTCAAAAGGCTGCTTCCTCCCAGGGCAATCTCTGCAGGAAGCCATTCTGACCTGGTCTGCACCTGCAGGGTGAGTCTCTTCTGAGGCTGTCTGCTTATGGAAAGTCTTGCTGAGATGCAGACCGTGGACCTCTACTCCTGCAGGACCCCTTCTGAGTCTTAAAGGAGATTCCACTCGGCCAGGAAGCTGGAGATGAAATGAGAAATCTCAGCTCATGTAGTTCCAGCTCTTCTCAAAACATCTCCATGCCTCTACACTTCTGTCCAGGTCCCCTTCAGGCAGGAGGGCCCATCTGTCTCCATAAGTCACCTCTCAGGTCTTCCCACCCCACCTGGTGGGCACCAGCTGGAGCTGAGTTCTCTCTGAGCCTGGAGTCAGTGGCAGTGTAGTTTCACCCTCCTTGCCTTCTGTAAATAGAACAGGAGTTCTTATTTTCTGCAGGGGGCCTTGGCTGTGCATGTGTGCACATTCTTTCTGATGAACCCCTAAGCACCTTGGCCAGTGTACTTGGTCTGTCTTTGCTCCCATTTGGTGTTTGTTTGTTTGTTTGTTTGTTTTGTTTTTGTTTTTGGCACCAGAGCTCAAACTCAGGACCTTGGGCTTCCAAGGAAGGTGCCGGAACCACTGAGCTAAATCCCCAGCCCCTACTCCCATCTGTCGAGATCTTCCTTTACATCTCTTCCTAACTTTGCTAAATATTTGTGTGATACAGCTGAATTACTTACTTCGATTGGATGACTAAAGTCTCCGTAACCTAAATCTGCTAGGCTGACCTTCCAGTCCCTTCACCTGGCCCTGAAGATTATTCTAGTTAAAAGGCCTTCCTTGGAAAATCTAGTACAATTCTCAAGGTACTATCGCTAAAAAAATAAGGGAGAATGATAACTTCCATGGTAATTTGGCCTTACAGGATGCGTGGTTGTACCTCTCACCGCTCCCACCAGTACGACTGGCCCATGTGATCTGTGACATTTATTCCATACACAGGAGCCTGGCTCCGACAGTGGTAAAGCACTCAGACAATCATGAGCGAATAAAAGGTAGCTGCCTTCTAAATGAGCGCTGCTGAAAAGAAGCTGTGTATTTGAAAATAATAAGGGTTGATGGCTAACTAGTTGCCTTGGCATTCTTGTTATTCCAGGGAAACCAACCATTGAGTAATTGGGCACGAGATTGCTTTCAAGCCATTAGGAAAGCTGTCACCTCTTACTGTGCAGTGAGAGAAAACCTTGTAGAAAAATATCTTTGTTTGCAAAAGTGGCTGGAAATTTTGCATGTAAAAATAAACTTCCACTTTCCATTTTGTATCTAAAATATGTTCTTACTGTCCACTATTATCCAAAGTGTGAAAGTGATTTTTAATATGTATTTCTTATATTTAATATGGGTAATATCTTGAAAAATAAATATTGATAAAGAAATTATTGAGAAGATTTAGGTTTCAGTTTTGAGTAAGTAAACCTATGAAATAACTAAATTACTTTCCTTTATGGATATAAAGGATTGAGTTCAGCTTTTTGTAGGGAATATTTAAAGCTGCATAAGTTATTAATATTTTATTTGATTGTAAAATTCATATGTTAAAGTTGTATTCCTAAATTGACTCCACTTCACAATGGTTTTGTCATTTATTAGAATGGCAATATTAATAGATGGTCCTAATAGAATGACAGTGTCACACAAACTGGTAATTGAGAACTAGCAATGAACCTCCATGCAATCCATGTGAGGCTGAAGTCTATACAAGTGACTATAGCAGCAAGTCCTATGAGGGGAGTAAAAGAATGAGGAAAAATTATTGCATTCCACTGTCAGTAATAAATTCACAGAGTGGGTAATTTGTTCAGTTGAACATACTTGGATTTTAACTCTGTCTTAACTCCTGTGCTCACTGCCAGGGGTAAAGTTTTGGCTGCCACAACTTGTGCCCACAAGGGGCTTTTGTTCCAGGGTGGAGTTACTTAAACTTAGCCCTCTTGATATTCTGGACTAGATAATAATAATGGTGTGGAGAGTCATCTGTGTACTGTAGGATGTTCAGTGACATCTCTGGCCTCCAACAACTGGGGATTCTTAGAATCTTCCCTCTTTGTTGTGGCAACCAAACTGTCCTCAGTGTTTGCCAAAGGAACTCTGGGAAGCAAAATGGTGGTTAAGAAGCCCTATCCTAGTAAGATAGAAGGGTTTCCAAAGACAATGAGATCTGGAACATTCTGGAATTTCGGAGGTATGTCAGGAAGGCTGTGGACAGAGTGACTCAACACCAGGGGCGAGAAAGGCAGAGACCAGGAGGGCTTCTTTTCAATTTGTTTCATTCAACAAAATTAGGCTAAGCTTTTTTACTTAATCTGGGGAAAATCAGATATGTGTAAGGCAATATCTCAGTGAAAGGATAAGATAAACAGCATTCTCTTAGTCTATCAACTAATATGTTCTGAGATCACAGGTTTTCCCCTTTGCAGCCATGCAGTGCAATCAACCTCGAGGCTCTTCTAAGAAGTTTAAAGAAAGGTACGACTGATTTATTTCTCGATGTGGTAAGCATGTTGTTCCCATGAGTGGACTATATTCATGGTGTCCAGAGAAGTGTGGTTTGCAATCTAGACTCTCTTCATTCCTGCTCCCCCGCTTTCTTTACATCTTCAAGAGTCCTAGGTGTTGATGTTGTAATATAATATTTTATGTAGTAGAATCAGTGTCTTTTTCTTTCTAGAGTTGGTTTATAAATCTAAGGAACTGTGTACTCTAAAATACGTAGTTGGGAAATTGGCCAAGACTCACCAAGTCTTTCAGGTGGCCATTAGAATCATAAGATGCTGTCTTGTGATAGGAGATGTGGATGTGTTAACAAAATTAAGTTGATGGACCACTTAAATTTCATCTTTCATTTCCCTCAGCTGACTTTTAAAACTCTGCTTAGCTGCCACACCTAGGATAACTGCTGACTAGATGTGATATGTAAAAAAGTATCTGACTGCATGTTCTGAATTGTTATAGATGTGTGCTTTGACCTTTATAGACACTGTAGTTTCATTTTATAATTAGTCTGTTGTTTACTCTCATTTTATACATATGTTTAAAAATCCCCTGCAGAAACTGACATCACTTGCCCTTTTCCCTTTATCGCTACACTGTATATTTTCTTATTGTAAAATATTGGGGGAACAATTTCCAACATGGAAATCTTCATAGATTTGGCTACATTATAATTGAGAACATTACCAGAAACAAGAGGCAATGGTCAACCCAGAGTTTATATATTTCCTTTAATTAACCAATGAATACTACTCTCAAGCTAGATCATCAACTCCTAAGACTAATGTGGAAAATATACATGACAAGCAGATACACTGTCAGTGAGTCTGAGGAGCCAACTCGTAGTAAAAAGAAAAAAGAAAAAAAAAACACTAACAAGTTTCAGCCTCTTTTCGTGTGCTTATTAATGAGTAGATGACCATAAATTAAAAATTCAAATGCTACTTTATGTGTCCTTGTTGATAAACTTTAAAAAATTAGACTCACCATTTATTATCAAAGCAAGGGGCAAACCAAAACCTTTCCAGAGAGCTTGTGCAAGTGCAGTGATTTTGGAGAAAAATGTCAACAAATTGGGATATATTTGGGCTTACAACCCAGTTTACCCCCCAATATTTTCACCACGATCACTAGAACTCCCTGCAACTAAGGCGCAGTTGTGGCAGAGTAAGAAGTCCCCGGTGTGGTACTGCACAGTAGGTCACCGACAGATAAGTGCAATGCACTTTAATTTCAAAGCCTGGAAGAAAAGCTTTTGAATGTATTTACCATAAAGAAATGGTAAATGCTTGAGGAGATATGTTTAAGTCTCTTCAAAAATGATATAATGTGTACCCATGTATCAAAATATCATAGGGCATTCCACTAGTATTTACAACTTTTATAGTTTTTTGTATCAGTGAAAGAAATTTGAGGGAGAAAACCAAATCCCTGCTATGGATTATTACTCTTAAAAAGCGATTCTGTCCCCATGAAATGTCCGACGTGGGGCTGAATCAGCAATTCCTTGTGCACTGTGGCTTGGAAGGAGCCACCAATAGCAGTGATCCTCTGAGACGAAGCCGCCCAACCCTGGGGGATCACAAGTGCATTCACGGAGCAGAGGACGCCGAAAAAAAGGTCACTCCACTACTGTTTGTAATAGTGAAAAGTGAGAAAGCCTAAATCCATAAAATAATGAAATAAACTAATGAAATTTCAAAACGTAGTCCAAGCTTGTACATTGCCTACATGTAAAAATAGATTGATCTTCAAAGCGAAGTTGGAGTTAAAAAGTAACATCTGAAATATGAATTTCCACGTGTATAAACAATGCTAATAAAAACAGCACTAGTCACTCATTCTCATTTTAAATAGTCTTATAAAGAGGGGCTGAGATGAAGCATGATAAGAAAATAATGTACAAAGGGAGATTTCCTTGTTTTAAAATACATTTCTTGAAATTTGCTCTCTCTCTAAGAGTAATTATTGATCCTTTGACCAATATTTCTCTGTTGCTCTCTGTTGATCTTTGGGTGACCAGTCTACTCTCCATTTCTTCTGTTTGTTCCATATCCTTTTTTTTACTAGCGCATTTTGTCTATTCAGGTAATTTTTTTTCCTCATTGAGTTTATCGGTACATTTTAGGTACACAGTAGAGTTAGATTCATCATTGGGATCTTGTACATTTACATGACAGGTGGTCTTGGTTCTCATTTTTTCCCCTTGTCCCTGCCCTCCCTTCACCCCTCCTCCCCTTCTCATTTACAAACATTTTATTTCCATTTTTTCACTTTCTCACATTTTTCCTTTCCCTTATTACCTTTCTCCTACCCTTCTCACTTTCCCTACACCTTTAGCCCCTTTCTTCCTATTTCACACTGTCAACTATCTCATTAGGATATTCAGTAGATTTTTTAAATTTTTAGTTTTATTAATATCTGTTTTCAGTGCACAACAATTACATTCACTGTGGTGAGTTGGTGCACATGAAGAACACTTCTTAATTCTTTTTATGTCTCTTTCACCACATTCCTCTTCTCCCTGTCCATCTCTTTATCCCCTCCCCTCCGTTTCTATGAGATCTACATTCTCTGGGTCCACATAGGACTTCATGTGGTTTTTGTCTTCTTATGCCTGACTTGTTCCTTTTAGCACAATGTTCTCAACATCACCCATGTTTCTAGAAATGGCAGGACTTCAAAGGCTAAACAGTGCTCCATCAAGTATTCCCCCTCCCTCTAGTGATTCTGTGCCCACCCTCCATACCCAGGCTGGAATCTCCTCTTGGTTTTGCTTCAGCTATCCTCATACTCAAAGCAATTGCCTGAAAAGGTGGTGTTCTTGGAGGAGACCTATGTCAAAGACAGCACACTGAAGAGTCCCCTCTTTCAGAATCTTTTCCTGTTTTGTTCCAGCCCCAAACACTTCCCTGTTTAAGGAATTTCTACAGCATTTGCAATCACCCAGTTTCGACATAGCTCTGGACTATCTAGCCTTTACGTCTTAGGATCGGCTATTCCTAGTGGATGGTCTATAAAAGGTCTGGGTAGTTGATCTATAACAGAATAAGGCAGGGCAGGTGTCTCTGTGCCTCATGGCTACCTACATCCCTAAACTCAGAGCAGCGGACTGTGTGCTAACCTGTCGTCACTAAACAATATCATAACCCAGATTGATGCAAACTACAATCTCCTATCTAGTGAGACAATATAAGAAGGTTCATTAAAATTTTTGAGATAAAGTAGTGTTAGACCCAATCTACAGCATCAAAACATACATACTTATTTAAAATAACATATCATGGGCTCTTGTCTTGGCTTACAAATCTACCTCAAAATAGTTACCCAAAATTTTGGAATGAAGCATTCTGACTTGAGAAATATTTTACTGTATTTTAAAGTGGGCATATTATTTCTCTGTCAGATTCTGGTAGTCAGCAGTTATGCAATTTTATACTTAGGTAGAAATCCTACACATGGTCTATGAAAGAAGTAAGAGAAAGGAGGTGTTAGAAAATACAAACAATTCCCTTTAGATACAAAAATGAAGAACAGATCCTGAGTAATATGCCATCTCCATCACCATAATATTACATATCTACTGTATTCAGTGAAAACATGTCAGCATTCACAAAGTTTATGAATGATGAGTCCTTTCTCTTATGAATCAAGAGTTTCTTTCCTTCAGGAAATTTAATCTCATACATTTTGAAATGAAAAATGATAATATTTTATCTTCCTCAGAAATGTGACACTTTTCTCTCCAAAAGCAAAAATACTATTACTGCAGACTTGCATTTGAAAGTTCTGAAAATTGGCTTGTAAAAAATAAGATATATTTAATTGTTAAAGATATTCTTTTGGAATTCCTTCTTTCCTAAGAGGAGACAATTTAAGCATTCTGAAAAATGTTTAGAAAATTAGAGTTAATGAACTTTGTATTTCTCTGTGTGTGTGGACTACCTTTTGTTTTTTAGAGACAGTATCTTGATAAATTACTAAGTTGTGGCTTGAATTTGAGATTCTCTTGCCTCAGTCTCCTAGAAGACTTGGAATAAAGACTTGCACCACACACCAGGTTCCTTGTTTAAATTACACATGGATGGGATTCTAAAGAAATGATATAATGTGTTGCATCCACAGTAGCAATGTTAAAGTACCCACTATATATGAAGTGTTTTGTTGTATTCTGTGGTACACTAGTAAACAAGACATCTGTGTCTTTCAAGAAAAAAATAGCACCCATGTATTACTCAGCTTTTGCTATGGTAACCAAGTATCTGAGATAAATAAGTTGTAAGTAGGAAAGATTTATTTTGGGTCATGGTTTCAGGTACTTCAGTCCATGGTGCTTGACCCTGTTGGTTTGGGTCTATGGCATAGGATACATCATGGTGGAGGAAGACTTTTCACCTCATGGCAGCTGGGAAGCAAAGAGAAATAGGAAGGGGCTGGGGTCCTGATATCCACCTCAAGGGCACATACCCAATGGCCTAACATCCTTCATTAGGCCTGACCCCCTGAAGGTTCAATCATCTCCTGATTGTGCTTCAGGCTAGGAACTAAGACTTCAACACGTGGACCTTTAGGGAACATTCAAGATCCAAGCTCCAGCAGCCTGTAATCACCATAAAGCTCAACCATGTTTTAAAGAGGGGAGGGCCAGGCACTGAAGAAGGTGTGCTGGACACATTCTACCTAATTTTGGTGTCAGAGAAGGGATGAGTGATAAAAAAGCATCTAAGCTGTGATCTGACCCTTGGGTGAAGGGTATGGGTAGGTCAGGACTGCAAGTGAGACCCCACGTGATTCTCTGGGATAAAGAAGGAGGTCCATAATCCTGACGCTGGAAGAAATGCATGAAGGTAAAGTAAGAGGGGCCAGATCTGAAACATTTGACTACCAAGTCCTTTGTTCAGTATCTACAGGCTGATAAGAGGTCATTAAGGAATTTAAGTAACAGAACTGTGTTTATATATGTTATTCTGACTGCAGAGCCCAGAGGGATAGTAAGAGAGGAAAAGCTTAAGTGAGAAAGCTGATTTATAGGCCAGGAAAAGATGATCATGGGCTGCAGTAGAAGTTGGAAGAGAGAAAATGGATAGATGCAAGAGCTAGTCCAGCAGCAAAGCTAAATATGTTTGGTGATCGCTGGAAAGTTAGTGATGGGCAGAGCATGGCAGTCCATGGAACTGTGCAGCTTGTGCTCTCAGCAACCTGAGGATCCTCTTCCTAGAAAGCTTCCTGGTGAAACTGTGCAATACAGAGGAATCTGTGAGCCCTATAATGAAAGAGCACAATGGTTTGAGAAACTACAACGTTCAGAGAATAATTAAAATGTGGGAGTTGTCTGATAGGACAGTGCACAGAGCCAAGGAAACTATGGAACTTCAAAACTTTGGGGTGCTGGCATTTATTGGTAAAGGAGAAGCACAGAATGAGCAAATAGGGGAGATAGTGAAGGTGGTGACACAGAACCCAGGGACAAGAGCAAGGAAAGCTGAGGTAGCTGATGCTTAAAAGGGGAGGTGTTTATGGGTGTCCATGACTCCTTTATTACAAGAGTTTTCATGGGGTGGGGGACAGAGTCTAGATGGTGAAAACAAGAAAATGAAGTTGCAAGTGTATAGACAGGAGCTGTGGGCAGATATTTTATTCAGCTTAGTTGAAGACATCAAGGCAAGTAGGATGTTCGTGGAGTTAAAGGTAGAGTCAAGAGAGAGAGTTAAGCAAGCAAAATTGAAGCAATTAGCTTCTTGGAGAAGCAGATACATGCCGCTCATTACTAGGCGTGTGCTGCTCCATGTGCTCGTTTATTTTTGTTTCAATTGAGCTGGCTCAAATCAAAAGGACATAAACCGATACAGAAAGATGTTCAGAGAAGAAATTTTTCAGGAACCATGTTGAAAATTCATACGTTTCCTAATGTAGCTACTGTTTTATAGCTTTCTGGAGCACTTTTCTTTCTATTTTCCATTTACCTGCTCGCTGGCTTATAAAATTTTGATGTTAGCGGCACAGGAAAGTCAAATAGTGTCACATATATAAGAGGAAAAGAATATCAATCTCACCCTAAGTAAGTTGGACTCATCTGGAACCAATTTAGAAGTAGTAGATGGATTCCTCTATGATCCATGGCCCATCTTCAGCACCTAAGTTGGAAAATAGTATGTGTTTAGAATATTCAAGTCTATGACTTGTTTGTTTGTTACAAACAAGTACATGGATAACTTGTTAGTATTAAATGGGTCCATATTTTTTAGGGTCTTTATCTTAACCAACTTTTAGGACATATTTTACAAATGAAATTAACCTTTTTGTCATATCACATAATTGATGACATCAAAATCTGGAAATGTAATCCATTTTAATAAGATGAGTGTATTATATTTATACTTGAATTAAAGTGCTGATATTTATTAGGTTTCATTATTCTTGGTAATATTTTCAAGGCACTGTTGATTATCAATTTTCTTGATTTTATTAGGCTGTTACTGATATTAATATATATATAAATTACTGCTATAGACTGTTATTTCATTACTTCCCAACGTGACAGTATCAGGGCTGGGGCTTTTGGTGTGAGTGCCCTCAGAATAAGACACATGTGTCTGT